GGAAGTTTTTGGCTAAACCCTAAACCCTAAACCCTGAACCCTGGACTCTAAACCCGAAGCCCTAAACCCTGAACTCTCAAAACTCGGGTTTCAGGCTTGCGTCAGAAGCGTCTTTGGATCAGGGTTGCAACGCGGCGCAGCGCGCTTGGGGGCCACCTCAGGCAGAGTTAGAGCTTTAGGGTTGGGGGCTTTTAGGGTTTTGGGTTGAATGTTTGGAAGGCTATACACAAGCTATGATTCCCCGAACCCTAAACCCTAAACCCTAAACCCTAAACCCTAAACCCTAAACCCTAAACCCTCAACCCTAAACCCTAAACCCTAAACCCTAAACCCAAAACCCCAAAACCCTAAGCCCTGAACCCGAAACCCTAAACCCAGAGCGGGGCCCGAAAGCCTGGCCGAGTTGGTGCGGGAATGAGGTGACCCCTGCTGACATCTACAAGCAGGTCGCGTATCAGCATGTGGCGAGCCAGGTTCCCAGTGGTTTAGGGTTTAGGGTTTAGGGTTTAGGGTTTCGAGTTTATGCTTACAATGATTAGGGCAGACTATTATGGTTTTCCTAAACCTCAAGCCATCGAACACGAATGCACGTGCCACAGTCGCATACAGCGGCCACCCCATGACCCTAAAGCTTAATCCCCTGAACCCGAAAACCCTAAACCCTAAGCCCTAAGCCCTAAGCCCTAAGCCCTAAGCCCTAAGCCCTAAGCCCTAAGCCCTAAGCCCTAAGCCCTAAGCCCTAAGCCCTAAGCCCTCAGCCCTAAGCCCTAAACCCTAAACCCTAAACCCTGAGCCCTAAACCCTAGCCCTAAACCCTCAACCCTAACCCTAAACCCTAACCCTAAACTCTGAACCCCAAGCCCTATAATACTATAGTCCCTAAACTTTCCCAGGCACTGCGCCCAAAGCCGGGAACCCCGCTCCCCCAAGACCTGCCCTAAGTCCCTCAATCTCAAGGCGCAACGGCCCACTTCTATCCTTGCTTCCTTCATCACTGATAATGACGAAACCTTACTCATAGGCAGGGTGAAGGGCTGAACGTTTCGAGCTCCCATGAACCTTCAAGTGACACTAACCCTAAACCCTAAACCCCTCCAAGGCCGGATGTCCAACGACCTCAGCCAGACTGACGCGCCACCCATGCCCGTACCCGTGGACTTACCCGGGCTCCTTGGTGGGAATGAGGCGTTTAGGGTTTTAGGGTTTGGGGTTTAGGGTTAGGGTATGAGACGTGGAGAGCTCCGGGCGGATTCCGAAGACTTCAGGGCTCTCGGATTCCTAGGGTTTTTAAAGGGGCTCTGGGATTCCATAAACTTCATGCTTCGAGGGGCTAGGATTGAGATCTTTGATTTTGAAAAGGCGTCCCTGAAGCCCTGAAACCCATAACCCATTGGCCCCAGCTCGACCCCAACAAGCCCACAATGAATGCAGGATCAACAGTGGCATGGTAAGAACTAGCTGCCCAAAGTACCAGTTCTAATTACACAGGCCATAAACCCTAAACCCTAAACCCTAAACCCTAAACCCTAAACCCTAAACCCTAAACCCTAAACCCTAAGCCCTAAACCCTAAGCCCTAAACCCTAAACCCTAAACCCTAAACCCTAAACCCAAAACCCTAAACCGTTCCCAAGCCCGAGCTGAGCTAGGAGCAAGGTACTGGCTGAGGCTTTTGGCGCAGCCAGGGCGAATGTCGGGTTTAGGGTTTAGGGTTTAGGGTTTAGGGTTTAGGGTTTAGGGTTTAGGGTTTAGGAGCTCTAGGAGGCATGTGTCGCTCTAACAGTCAAGCAGCACGGGCTTCCGCTCATATCCCTAAACCCTAATCCCTAAACCCTAAACCCTAAACCCTGAACCTTAAGCCCTAAACCCTAAACCCTAAACTCTGTAGAGGACATACGTTATAATGGAGATGAAATAACCCGAGGGCGGGTTGCCCTTTTTCTTTTTGTTTCTGTGCTTGCAACCTGCGACAGCTTTGCGTGCATCTTGTGGGTGCCTTTGACAGCAAGAAAACCTGGAGAAGTAGCATAATAACGTAACACATGAGAAGAACACAATAATATGGCAGAAGAATACAAGAGTATAATGATAAATAATATAATTGTCTCGGAAAATTTAAACAGAAGGTACAAGAATCAATCAGAATATAAGAAGAGCAAAATTCCATTGTTTTTGGAATGGAATAAGATAGTAATAGCAACAACAAGCAACAACCTCAAAAGCACCTCAAAGCAGGAGAAGCTAAACACTCTTGCGTCGCAGCGTGGCGTTCATCTTTCCTTGGGAAGCCGAGGAGGGTGGTCTCGCTCGCCTGCGGTTTTCGAAGCAGCGCTGTGCCCACTCGGCAATCTGTTTTTAGGGTTTAGGGTTTAGGGTTTAGGGTTCGGGGTTCTCAAGCTCGTGGGGGTGGGGTAGTGCTCACATGCCAGGGTCACGGCCGGTCAGGGTGGCAGTTCTTGAATGCAGCTGAGGTGATATGTGAAGTGCCGGACGCAGCGTGATCTTGGCTGCCTAATATGGCCTTGCGAGCATCGCGCTCCGCCATCGGAGCCGCTTTGAGTGTGCTTGGCTCATTCCATTGCTTGAAGCCACCAGAGTTCAAGCAGCAAGTTCCGGCCTGTGGCGCATGGCAGTCCAAGCTGTTCATTTTCGGGTGACATTTTCGACAGCAGCTGTCCCGCGGCGCAGCAAGTCGATCGTTCACCCCTCGTCCACCTCCCCGCTTGACAAAAAGGAAGCTGCAATCATCTGCTCTCAGCGCTGTGTGCTCATCAGCGGCACAGCTACGTAATGATACACCTCCATGGCCTCCGAACCGTCTCTTCATGATCCATGATCAGGGCATCCGGCAGAATGCCGGAAGAAGATATCCTACTACCCTAAACCCTAAACCTTAAAGCACTAAACCCTAAACCCCTAAAACCCACAACCCGAAACCTCACACCCTGAACCCTAAGCCTCTTTAAAGAGAAGGCAAGCCCCAGAACCCTTCGCGGTTGGGATATGGCTGTAGGGTTAGGGTTTAGGGTTTAGGCGTTTGGGTTTAGGCGTTTAGGGTTTAGGGGGTTCAGGTTTAGGATGTGTGGTTTAGGGTTTAGGGGGTTTAGGGCTTAGGGTCTTTGCCGGTAGGCCAACTCTACTTCTGGGTACGGCAGCTTGCAATGCCCCCCCCTCATATCTACCCATGAGCCTTCCAAGTAGGGACCCTGAACCCTAAAACCCTGAACCCTGAACCCTGAACCCATAAACCCCTGAACTTCTAAACCCTTAAACTCCAAAACTCCTCAACCCCTAAGTCCCTAGCACCCCGGAAAACCTTCAAGCTCCCCAACCCCCGAACCCTAAACCCTAAACTCTAAACCCTAAACCCGAAGCCCTAAGCCCTAAGCTCCCTAAGTCATGGAGGAGGCCTTGGCTTGCCTTGGCCCTTGAGCTTTCTCCGGCACCTGCACCTGGAGCTGCGCGAGGAGACAAGGGTGGCCAGGCCGGGAGCAGGTTTAGGGTTTAGGGTTAGGGTTTAGGGTTTATTGTTTAGGGTTCAGGCTTTAGGGTTTAGGGTTAGGGTTTAGGGTTTAGGGTTTAGGGTTTAGGGTTTAGGGTCTAGGGTTTAGGGTTTAGGGATTCGTACAGGCCTTTGTCCACAGGCCGAAGCTTGCCAGGTCGCCCACCAGTAGCGCGCTTCTGGACGGTCCTAATGACATGCAGCAGGGGCCCTGGAACCCTGAACCCTGGAACCCTAGACCCTAAACCCTAAACCCTAAACCCTAAACCCTAAACCCTAAACCCTAAACCCTAAACCCTAAACCCTAAACCCTAAACCCTAAACCCTAAACCCTAAACCCTAAACCCATAAACCCTAAACCCTAAACCCTAAACCCTAAACCCTAAACCCTAAACCCTAAACCCTAAACCCTAAACCCTAAACCCTAAACCCTAAACCCTGGGCAGGTCGGGCGGCGCCTTCGAGAAGTCCGACGAGGCCACGGTGCAAACGTGGCCGGGGCCCCGAGGGCACGTCACGGACGTCAGCAGCCCACGGCCCAAAACTCTAAACCCAAGCCTCTGAACCCCAAAGCTCACAAAAGCCCTAAACCCTAAACCCGAAACCCGAAACCCGAAACCCGAAACCCGAAACCCTAAACCCTAAACCCTAAACCCTAAACCCTAAACCCTAAACCCTAAACCCTAAACCCTAAACCCTAACCCCCCCAAAGCTCCTTAAGCCTTGAACCCGAAGCCCTGAAATCCAGAGCTCCCTAAAACGCTCGGCCTGTCTCGACCACTCCGGGGCTTGGTGGGTTGAGGGTTTAGGGTTTAGGGTTTAGGTTTTAGAGTTTAGGGTTTTTTTAGAGTTTAGGGTTTAGAGGTTTTTGAGTTCCGGCATTGGGTCAAACCTTAAGCCCTAAACCCAACTAGGGCTTCGGGGCTGAGGGCCTTCCCCCTTCACCTGAAATCCCTCTACTCCTAAGCTGCGAGACTCGAATCCAACTCTAAAGCCCTCAGCCCTAAACCCCCATATCCTAGAACCCTGACCTCCAAAACCCCAAGCTCTCAACCAGCCACTTGAATCCCGCAGGTGGGAGGGCCGCGGTAGCTCCTTGGTGTTCGACACCAGGCCCAGACCCGGAACGGGTTTAGGGTTGAGGAGTTGAGGCGAGGGGGTTAGGGTTTAGGGTTTAGGGTTTAGGGTTTAGGGTTTAGGGTTTAGGGTTTAGGGTTTAGGAACCTCGGGTTGAGGGTTGGGGCTCTGGAGCTGAGGAGTTGCGGAGTTCAGCTTGGAGGGCTGCTGCCAGGATGTAGGGCTGCACCTGGACTGGGTCCTTGTTGGTTATATTTTTACATTTTTGTCCTATTAATTCCCAATAAGGAATAAACATGATAACTTTTAATATGACCCCAACAAGGCAGCAGTGGAGGCTTGTATCCTAAACCCTAAACAGCACTTTCTCTCAGGAAGCATCTGGGTAGGGTTTGTTGATCACGTTATCTTGTCTTGAGTCATCTTGAGTCTAGTTTTTTGTGCGTGAAGTTTTGTTTTGGACCCTGTTGTGATGGCTTTAAGCTGTTCGGACATCCCTAACCCCCTCCAACCCTAACCCTAAACCCTAAACCCTAAACTAAGTGAGGGGTCGCTTCCGTCGAGCGACAGACCCCGAACGCTCGGCCGAGGGCTGTAAGGCCCGAGCGCCCAAGCGAAAAGAGAAACGGAAAGGTGAGGGTTAAGCCTCACCGTCTGTCCTGGACAGGCCAACGGACATCGGCCTTTTTTACGACAACGCCAGTACTCCGGCTAAGGGATGGCCGGCACCCAGACCACCTTTAGCGTAGCTAAAGTATAACCCCAAACCGTAACCCTTTGCTTCTGGACGTGGTTCAGGGTTTTGGTTTGCGGGCCCCCGCCCCCCCCGGGGGCCCCCTGGCCCCGGTAGCTGGATTCGGACCAGGAGGCTGGCGAGGGGGTCCGGGCTGGTTGCTCAATTCGGTTTTTGATGGATTTTGGGGCCACCCCAAAACAAGGCCCCCGAAGCCAAGGACCCCCCAGGCCAAGGGCCCCCCGGGCAAGGGGAAGGGCCTCCCGGGCGTAAGCCCGGGCCTCCGGGTCACGGGCCCTTTGAGTCAAGGGCCTTTGGCCCAAAAACCAAGCACCAAGGGCCTCCAAGCCAAGGGCCCCCGAAGGCGGGGCGGCCAAGCGCCCCGGGCCAAGGGCCCGCGGGCCCTTGGCCCCCCAACCCAAGAACCAATAGGGCCCCCAACGAAGGGCTAAGAGTTTTTTGGCAAGAGGCGTGGAAGGGGCGGGTTCAGGGCTAGAGGAAGGCCCCCCGCGCCAAAGGGCCCCCGGGCGAAGAGGGCCGTACCATCTCTGAGTTTTTTTAAACTGGAATCGATGGTTTTGCGCGCCACTCCATTTTACACCAGAAGCGCCAGGAAAGCCCAGGAAGCCCCAAGAGGCGCCAAGAGCCACCAAAAGGCTTCAAAAGCTTCAAAAGGCCCCCTAAAAGAAGGGGGACCACAAGATTTGTCCGTGCCCACAATGAAAAATGCGATTTTTGAATATTGAAAACGATGGTTTTAGGCACCCCTGCCCGCAATGAAAAATGTTGTTTTTTAGTACTGAAATCGATGGCTTTGGGCACCCCTCCATTTCACCCCAAAAGACCAGGAAAGCCCCAGCAAGCCACCAAATCAGCAAGGGCCTCTACGGGCCCTGACGTGCCGAAGGCCCGAAAAGGGCCGAGGCTACCCCGAACCCCAGCTTAAACCTTAACACCGCAAAGCCCTTCAAGCAAACAAGGGCCTCTACGGGCCCTAACGTGCCGAAGGCCCGAAAAGGGCCGAGGCTACCCCGAACCCCAGCTTAAACCCTAGCGATTGAAATACTCATTGGCGAAAACAAATAATAGGTTCCCTGACCTTCAAATGAATAAAGCGTCTACGGCCCCTGACACGCCGAAGGCCCCGAGAGACCCCAAGAGCCACCAAAAGGCTTCAAAAGGCTTCAAAAGGCCCTTAGGGGGGACCCCAGGATGCCCGTGCCCGCAATGAAAAATGCGATTTTTTGGTACTGAAATGGATGGTTTTTTCCTTCATTTTACCCCGGCAGGGCCAGGAAAGCCCCCAGGAAGCCTCCAAAAAAGGCCCCAAGAGCCACCAAAAGGCTTAATTGAGGCCCTTAAAGAAGGGGAATCCAGGAGCAGGCACAAAGGGTTTCCCTGACCTTCAAATAAAAAAGGGCCTCTACGGGCCCTGACACGCCGAAGGCCCGAAAAGGGCCGAGGCTACCCCCAACCCCAGCTTAAACCCAAACAGCGCAACTTTAAAAGCATCAAAGCAAGGATCAGAGCACAAGAAAACAAATTCCATAAACCCTAAACCCTAATAGAGTATAGTTTGGGCGGCCAGGGTGGGTTGACGGGCAACGCGAGCGCGCGGCCCGGGGTGTTTCACACCCGAGCGCGCCCTCCCCTCACACACCCTAAACCCTAAACCCTAAACCCTAAACCCTAAACCCTAAACCCTAAACCCTAAACCCTAAACCCTAAATTCCCACCCAGGCCTGCTTAGGCCGTACCCACCCTCTTCTAGGGTGCCTGGACCCAGCACTACACCCGACAGCGATTAACACCATCGCTTGGACTTACTATGCAAGCCTAAAGAGTTGTGTTGAGCGTGAGCTGCACCTCCAGTGCCGGTGCAGTACCCCGCCTGGGGTACCCCGCCCCCCTTCTCCGGCAATACCAAAAGTGGCTTCTGCAGGTGGTCCCTGAGCTTTCCTCCGGAGCCCCCTCCTGCAGGGCTTTTGGCGGAGCGTGTTCAGGGGCCGCAAGGCGGGCCTCTTGGCCACGCCCTGGCCTTCCTGGCCCCCCCTGTGGCTCCCGCTGGCCCCCTGGCCGTCCCACCGGCAACCTCCTACCCAACCGATCAAAGCATGGGGGTGGGAAGTGGGAATTTAGGGCGTTAGCCCGAAACCCTAAAAGGAGAAAAGTTGGGTGGCTGCCTGCGT